TTAATCATCGTATTGAGTTTATGCGATTTCAAATTTTTGTACTCGATGATTTTCGTAATCGACGACATAGAGATTGCCATGTCGATCAAATGATAAACCTATGGGACCATTGAGTTCATCCGAGTCTGATCCTTCGCCGTTTCCACCAACAACGACACTTCCTTGTGTGGCTTCTTTTGGCCAACGCATAATTCGATCGTTCCCACAATCAGCCACATAGACAGTACCCAATTGATCGACAACGACTCCTTGAGGATGATACAATTGTGTAAGACTATTTCCTTGTCCATGGCCACCGGCTACGATAATGCCTTGTGTTGCACCTTCTTTCCATTTCATTACACGATGGTTTTCCCATTCAGTCACATATACTGAATGATCTCGATCGACAAATACGTAGCGGGGTATAGAGAGTTGATCGAGACGATTTCCTTGTCCATTACCACCTGCAACCACTGTTCCTTGAGTATCACCAATTTTATATCGTTTCACTTCATATTTTCCGTCGTCAACGACATAGAGAAAACCATTGTCGTCCATTGTCAAACCCACGTAACAAATATTTGAAATAATAGTTTCTCCTTCAGTACCATTTTGACGAGGCCATCGAACTACTCTGTTATTCCCTCTATCGCTGATAATGAGACTATCGCTCTCTTTGTCGATAATCACATCTCGTGGGTAGTTTAATTGATGAGCTCCATTTCCTTTTCCATTTCCACCAGCAACTACTGTGCCATTCGTTGCACCAGATTTCCATTCCACAATACGATGATGTCCCCAATCAGCGACGTAAATCGTTTGATCATCATCGACGTGCAAACCCAATGGGTAATAGAGTTGATTGGTTTCACTGCCTTGTTCATTTCCTCCAGCAACAGTGATTCCATTCTCTGACCATGTTGCATTAGGATGAATATCAATGGAACTTGCACGCATTGGTACTGAAATGAAACAAAAGTAAGGAATAGAAATAAACATTGATTTCATTGAAATGAATCATTCTCATTTGTTTTAAACAATATTGAACTGCTCTAAATTACAAGTTTTTTACTTATGAACTTGATTAGAATCTGGTTTTTCTCAATGTTGAAAACAAAACATTGTTGGGTGGGTGTGGGTGATGATTGTAAATGTAAATTCGAATTAACAATGTGGTAAAGTAAGTAACGAGAAAATCGAGTAATAACTAAATAAATAAATAGAGAAAAAATTACTTATATGATTAAATAAATGAACAATAAATAAATAAATAAATAAATTCTTTTTTAGTTTTAGATTATATTTTAGTTTTTTGGTTTAAATTTTATGAAATTTTTTATGTTTTTGGTTTGTTTTTATAATCTAGGAAGTGACTATGTACACTTATGTGTATATAGCCCTTTGGCTATGTACACACAGGTAGATATAACCAATATATTAGTAAATATGAAGTCATATTATAATATTATATGTTTTTGTTGATTAATATAAATTAATTATCTAAGTTTTTTCATAGTTTTATTAATTCTTTATTACATACGAATAAAGTTTAAATCATATAGAAAAAAAATTAAGTCAAAAAAAGATCAATAATTCAGCAGCATTTCTAGTGCTTTCTCTCTTTGTTTTTAAACGAAACAATTAAATTTCATTATTTTCAATACATTTAACATAATGATCACGTAAAAGATATCTGATCATAAAACATTAAAGATGGAACATCTCTATCCCTAATGCTTTATCTGTTTAAACTGAATAATTCTTATAAACTTCCTCATTTTTGGATCGTTATGAGTTAAATTTTGATTTTTCATAAAAACAACTTTATTTAATTCCGTATAGCGTTTTAAAACAAGTAACGCTCGTCTATGGACTCGCGTAGCTCTTTCTCGTAGAAGAACTATTTTCTTATTATCAGCAAATTATTCATTTAGTATACATATGTTATTCATCTCTGGCTCACTCATATCCCTGCTCTCTAAATCATTGAATCATTCCAATCGAGCCCGTAATCAAATCACCCGTTCTTGATTACTTCTGATGAAGCTTTATACAATAAACTAATAACTATTAATTAATTAATTAATAGCTAATTAATGGAAACAGATCACAGATTTAGACTCTTCATCATTGATTACCTATGGTGAATTTTTATTTAAAATAATAATGATTAATAATTAGTTAATAACTAATTATTAATTAATTAATTAAAACTGATATCAGATTTGAATTCTTTACCTTCAATAACCCGCAGTGGAGTTTTACGAAAAATAATAATAATTCATAACCAATTAATATTTAGCTAATAATTAATTAGTAATAAGTTAGCTAAAACTGAGCTCAGATTTGGATTCCCCATCTTCGATAAACTTTGGCCAAGTTTTATAGAAAACATTAATAATTAATGAATAGTTAATAATTAATTAATAATCAGTTAAAACTAGTCTTAGATTCGAACTTCTCATTCTCGATTATCCTTTGGTCAAGCTTTATGGAAAATAATCCTTTTTGTCTTCACCTTCTTTTGGACCAATCATTGAAGTGCGGACATACAAGCAAGCAAACAAACAATTTATTCTCACAAGACTCTTCTCTACGAGAAAGAGAATAAATTCCCAATATAATCGAGCCGATTCTTGGTTTGGTCTTGATTCATCTTTTATATGTCTTCGAACAGGACATCTATGATGACATACATTACATTACATTTTGGTATTGAACATAGTTAAATAATTCTCTCGTTATTTTTTCATTATATTTCATTGAAGAACGTTTTATATTCATTGGTTGCTAACAATTAATGCACCAATTTTTAAATTCTTTCTCAAAATGTGCCCAACTGTCATACTGCTTTTTAAAGAGAGAATAATTATCTTGCTTTATTTTTCTGGTTGAAGAATTACAATAAGCACGAAACAATATACTTAGATTTAACTATAATAGCAACATATACCTTTCTGTAACAGACATGGAGAATGATTATGATAGACTTTTTAATAATATAAGAGGATTTATTTAGTACTATATATGAGGTTATATGAAATCGGTCCATTTTATTATAACAATTATCAATTCATTTCATTTGATTTGAAAAACTGTTAATTAGCTCGATAGAGAAAAAGATTAAAGTAAAGATAAATCAATCTATCTTAATAAAGATTATGTTCTCAGATGTCAAGTTATTTGACTTTTTCTATTTTTCAGTTTCCTACTTTTAAACCGATCAACTAAGAAAAGAAGATATAAAATTTTTCTTTATATAAGTGATCGACAAAAAAATATGATATAATGAAGAGGGAAGATAATCGCTAACACTAGATGGTTATCATGTATTCTATTTAAAATAATGAAATTCAACTGTTTCGTTTAAAACCAATGAGAGAAAGCACTAGAAATGCTTCTGAATTATTGATCTTTATTTGACTTAATTTTTTTTCTATATGATTTATACTTTATTCGTATGTAATAAAGAATTAATAAAACTATGAAAAAACTTAGATAATTAATTTATATTAATCAACAAAAACATATAATATTATAATATGACTACATATTTACTAATATATTGGTTATATCTACCTGTGTGTACATAGCCAAAGGGCTATATACACATATGTGTATATAGTCAGTCAGCTATATACACTCGTGTGTACATAGCCGACGAGCTATGTATACATAAAGGGTGTTAGCTAAGTTCTGATTCCTTTTTCCAATAAATTTATCAGAAAAAGGAATCAGAACTTAGCTAACACCCTTTATGTGTACATAGTCACTTCCTATATTCTATAGAAACTTTAACAAAAACCGAGTCTATGGGCATTTTTATTTCAAACTGAATTCTAAAATCAAAAAAACCACACCAATTTCTTCCGAATCAAACTTTTCTCGCTTGATACTACGTAGTCTCACTAAAAACCCTTAGTCACCCCTAGTCCTGCAAAGTCCCCCTTAGTCCCCCCCACAAAAAGCTTAGTCCCCGCTTAGTCCCTTGTGCAGGGGACTAAAGCCTATAGTACACAAAACCACAAGCACACCCTCACCCTCACTCGCGCGCCCACACCCGCACCATGGGTGTGGATGTGTGTGTGGGTCCCAGACCAACACCCACACCCTCAGTCACCCCTCCCCTCACTCCTAGACTCACGTTTCAGTTTGAAATCAAGTATTATTTTTATTTGATAAATTCAGACTGAAATTAAATAGCCCATTGTATGCAAAAACCGAACTATTTTTAAATAAATTTAAGAGAAAGAACTCGAATTGAAATAAACTTAAGTGAAACATGAGAGAATTAAATAAATGTATGAATTTTTGATAGAAAAGTTTTGAATTTTTGATAGACGAATGAATAAATAAATATATAAGTAAGAATTTTTGTTTTTTGTTTTTTATATATATGTAATGAGTAAATAGAAAATTTGCACCCTTTTATTTAACAAAACTTATACGAAAATTAAAGTGCTAGGTTCGAATTTAGAACTTGTAGAAAAAATAAGTAGGTAAATATGTGAATATATAAGTGAAATAGTAAATAAATGTTTTTTCAAAATGAAAAAGAAAGAATAAATCCTATTTTATGAATAATGAAAAAAAAAGGGTGCGGATGTGGGTGTGGGGTGTACGCAATAACTTTATCCATACGCTCACACCCACACCCACACCCTGCATGGATGATAGAAAAGCTACACCTGCTCCATATTCACACTTACATCCTTTCAAGAGAATTCCATAGAATCATAGGAAACCCTGAGACATTCCAGAGAACCGTGAGAAATCCTACGGAATCATAGGGCATTCTGTAGAATGCTTTGAATGCTTAAAAATGATCGGTAATCCTTGGCATTCGTGGGAATTCAAGATTTAAGGATTTCATGATTTTCCCCTTGGATAGACTAAAATAGGAATTGTTGCCAATAGAAACTGAATAATCTGTATGAATTTCACATTGTTTTTTTTTTCGTAAAACTAAAGTAATAGATTATTTCTCGAAAGAACTAGTGACTTAAACTCATACGATTCTATGCAAATAACTAGAGAAACTACTTCGAACATGCAATGAAATAAAGTCTTGAATAAACTTGTGTCTCTTGTGTTTTCTTCCTCGAAATCTCATTACTTGTGGTATGTTACATAGCTCTATTTTCGACGTTTGAAATACTCTCTTTCGTTTTTGGAAATTATTTTAATAAGGTGCTCATTAAAGTCAAATCATGAAAATCAACCATACCGACTCAATTGTACTGATGGTTTCTTCCAACCTGGTCGAGTGTTGTTTATCAAATAACTCTTTTCTTATCTTTGCATTATGGCAACATTTCGGTCTCTTTTGCCTCTTTTTTTTTGTCGTTTTACTTTTTGAATACTTTTTATCTACACTCTATTTAGAAGGACTACACGTGGTGACAATAAATATTCAAGATAAAGAGCAGAAGACAATTAATCGTCAACAAGAAAAAGAACCATATTTTCACAAAGAAATTCAGTTCGTAGAAAGTGTATACGCCAACATTATTTCTATACAATGTGCAATTGTTGACATTGTTCAATAATGAACAATAACTAGTAAAGATGAACTTTACGAGGAATCTATAAGAAAATCTGATTATAGATGAGTAATAGATTACGATTATCTTAAAAATGGCTTCATACTGTATTTCATTCTTGGATAGATAAGGCTTATATGATTGTGAGCATCAGACAACTTTTCTGTAAGTTGATCAGCAAAAGTGATAATTTTCAATATAGGGTGTGGGGTGTGGGTGTGGGTGTGTGGGTATGGGTGTGCATTAAACAAGCAGAACAAACCCACACCCTAATAAGTGTTATCATCTTTTTAATAATGCATCTTTCATTTCGAGTCTATGGGCTTTTTTATTTCAAACTGAATTCTAAAATCAAAAAAACCACACCAATTTCTTCCGAATCAAACTTTTCTCGCTTGATACTATGTAGTCTCA